GCGTATAATTTATCACGGCGCAGCTGCAGCGTAAAACCAACAGCGGTGGTGGCAGCAGCGGCAGTAGCCCGTCTAAAGTGGAAATGTTGCTGGCGTCAGCCTGCGGCAACATCATGTTGCTGTTCCTACTTTTTCGTTCGTTTTGTTTGCTGTGTCATCGTCATTTTCGTGGTTGTCATCGTAGACATGGTGCCCATCCTCACTTGCACTCTCATCCGCATCCTCATCCTCATCAGTTGTAGTTTGAGCGTTGTTACACATATTGTTATTGTTAGTTGTTGCGTCTTACAAATGCAATGCGAACAACTGCTGACAAGCTGAAAGACGTAGCATTAAAAGAAGTTTGCTTGTTGCATGCCCCATATTGCTGTGCGCAAACGTTGCTCGAATGGCAGCTTGCAGCAGCAACGTGGAAATCTGAACTAACAACAAATTCGAAAATAACCGGAAACCACAGTTATGATAACAAAAATATCAAAAACAACGAAATTATAAAGTTCGTAGAATTGTTGCAAAAAAAGGGGGAAAGCGAAATACACCGAACTAACTGACAAGCAAAACAATTAATAACAAACTTTCGCAGAAACAAAAGTGCATAAATACGATATGTATTGTTTTTGTTATCAGCATGCGAAAAAATAGCGAAATTTGCAAGCCAAGTGCAGCAACAACACCTATTAGTTCAACGGTTGCAAGTGGCGTTGCAATATGCAGGCACCACATTAAACCCTGCGGCAGCGGGACTTCGGTCGGATTTGAGCAGCCTCACGAGAAATCATAATGCAGAAATTCAGTATGTTGCGGCATAAAGCTGATTTTCTTCGAACTAAAGCTGAATGGTCAGAGAATACGTAATTCCAGTAAATCGAAATTCGCTGTGAATTCCATTGCAAACTTCCATGGCTTTGAGGGCATGTTTCTAATTATGATTTTGCATTGTAATTATTTGTGGCTATTTCGATATTTTTGCGCTCCTTTCGCACTTTTCTTTTTTACCGATCCAAACTGTGTTAAATCGACGAAAAGACAGCTCTCAACCAGTTGAAATCAAGGTTAATTTTGGTATACGTACGTAGTTTGCCTTTAATATATCGGGATTCTAGAACAAAAACAAATATTGATCGTAAATCGACTTATTGTTTTTCAAAATATTAAGACATCCATTAAGATCTCTACCTTTTGCCATGCATTTGAACCAATTGTCGAAGCACTTTTGCCACACTGATTAAGCTAGCTCCAAAACATGCCTTCTGAAAACCAACCGCTTCTTCAAGTTGACCTCTTAATTTATTTTTTACCAACAGGAATGAAAAGTAGTCATTCGGTGCTCAGTCAGGGCTCAGGGCTTTGATGACTCATCAAATCGATTTTTTGAGTGCTCAAAAATGCAGTTGTTTCAGTCGATGTGTGAGAGCTAGCATTGTCGTGATGAAAAGTGATCCGTCTTCGTCGATTTGGTTTCCTGATTTCCTGAAAGACTACTGGAAAACAAATCACAATCTGTATCACTCAGAATTTACCGTTCTGCGTGGTATGGTTGCGATATGTCCAATTGTTCCAGAAAATAGGCAACCATTCGCTTGGAAGTGCTTCGTACGCGAACAACTTTTTTGAATTCGTGAGTCACCTATACAGTCGATCACTGTTTACTTCCGGCTTTTTTGCGTAAACCCACGTTTCATCAGCTCTTTCGGTCTCACGTTAGGTCACATGGTCTGATTTTGTGCACAGCATTAATCCTCTCCAGAACAACAACTAATTTTAGACGAACTTCCTAAAATTCGTCTTGGGGTGATCTACAACCTCCATTAAATTCACCATACCAACGATAAACACTGGTAATTTTATAGCAATTAGTGCGTGCTTAATTTTATTATAACGAATATAGAGAAAACTTATTTTTCTTCAAATGGCGTTGTTCACTCTGTCATAGCCTTCGTTGCTTATATGGCCTGTAAGAAATTTAGCAAACCACTTTCAAATGGGTGCTTAGCTTGACAATTTGACAGGTTTTTTTTTATTTTTTCAAAATAATAAAATTTGTGTCACTTAAGATCTTTATCTGACCAGTCAATTATAAAAATTGTGTTTTATTTTTTTTATTTTTTGAAGGTTAAGACTAACAAAACATATGTATTCAATTACACTGCCATGTCGTATGAGCAATCGGAATTTATAAGGATTTGTACGAAGTCTCAGTACACTTAATACATAAGTTTAACTGTGTATACTAGGAGATTATGAATATTCCAGTAAAAAAACGTAAATAAAAATATATAGAAAGATTAGTTTAAGTTACTCTTAGCGATGCCAGATGTAGGATCGTTACATAGTTCATGAGAAGTAGTTCGAGATACATCTTTCGTTGACTCATATCGTGGGGCTCCTAAGTGTGCGTCTCTTTGTTTCCCTGATACCTTGTTGTTGACTTTTCCTGCAGCCATCTCGATCTGTCAGATGAATTTTTGTAGCAGACAAAAATCATTCGAGATAATCATAGATTTAGTCGAGCTGAGGCTTGAGAATATACAAATGTCATTATGACGGGCCTAAACCATGAAAAAAAAAATAATAATTTCGCAAAATGATTGTGCACCTAAAAAATTATCGATTTTTTTTTTTTTTTTGTTGCTACAAAAAACTGTATACAAAAAAAATTTAGTTAATTCTCATATAAAACGCTTGATTAGAACTTGAGAATTACGTGTACTATAGACAAAATTTACATGCAATGTTGTGGGTAATGAAATGATTTATAACTTTTTTTTATCAATGCTAGTTGCAGGTAGCCTCAAAAATTTTGGGAAAAATTCAAAACAGCAAATTTTTGGGATTGTAAACTTTCCTGCCTCTCCCAACCCGAGCTCAGATCTTCCGCGAATTCTATTATTTCTTTCATTTGTTTTGTTTTATCTTTTCTTTATTATAAGTGGTATCCTACTGTGATATTTTTTGCTCTCAAAAATTATCTGTCCTGTCGAAATATGGAAAAAATATTTTCAATTTATGGGGTTACATGGATTTTCTCGGGTAAAAAACAGCCTTTCCTCAATAATTTTTTGTCTTATAAAAGATGAAATATTTTATTAGAATTTTTTATTGTTTCTAACTTACATTATTAAAAAATTTTTTGGAAAATAATATATTAAACTCGGTCATTGCAACGCCTTTTCCATTTCCTCACACCTATTGTCAAAAGGAAATCGAATCTCAAATGATTATAAATAAATGAAGCAAAATTTTAGAAAAAGAAATTTGTTATCGAGATTCCGTTTGGCTCAGTCCGGATCATATTCCATATTGAGATTTTCATTTAATTAAACTTTCGTGCTAATTTGAAAGTACACGGTTTCCATTAAACGATTTTTTTTTATTCCGTTTTGCTAATAATCAACCAAGAAACCGATACGCTCATTATCAGAAAGCGAAAAGAGAGTGATGCGGAGAGTGTGAACATATGTACAAGTATAATATGTGGGAAGATAATTTTCACAGTAAATTAATCAACGACACTCGCACTGGCGCCCAAACGCCGCTGTAACCGAAAACTTTCTAAAGATAACAAAGTCGCTCCCCAACCGCCTGATAGCAAAGTCACACCTCACAAGCACACATATACACCGCTAGCATGCACTAATCGCTATATGTTTGTAGGTATATATATATATATGGATTTATATATGTGTATATGGATGTATGTGTATGTCTATGCATATACACTTCGTCGCTTTCAGCGTTAGCTTACAAAATCGTGCGCCGCGCCCTCGCCGCACTCATGTCAACGCTTACACACCACGCCCCTTGATTTCCTGTGGCAGCGTACGCGCGAGGTATTTAACGAATTTAAAAAGCGGAAAATTGAAATAATTTAAAACGGAAACCGGATTTCTGATAAGATTTCAGCATTTGCGCGTTGCATAACGGCGCTGTCGCAGCGTAGGCAGCAACTCAAGCGCACTCGCACATAAACTGATATGTGTGTATGTCATAATCATTAAGCAGATAAGTCTCATTTTCATTATCAAGTGCGCCACATTGCATTATCCGTTTCCGCACTAACGCGCTGACAGCGTTTCCCGTTCGTATGCAACCGAGAAGAAGAAGAAGACGAAAATTTGTATACAAATATAGAAATAACTTCATATAATTTCACTCAAACTCACACTTCACAATTATATTTTATTGTTATTGTTGTTTTTTTTTTCTACTTGCAGCCCCACCCAAGCAACGACAGCGCACCGGAATGCCCACATAAACACACGTATACGGGCAACAATAATAACAATAACTAAAACAATTACAAAAATTCAAAATAAAGCTCAGTCAGAGATAGCGACGGTAACAACAATAATAATGAACATTAAAACAGCAACTAGAACCCACCATTAAAACCAGCAACACGAGCAACAACAACAACAGCCACAATTACGACAACGACACCAACGAACCAATACATAGATGACAGAAATCCACGAGAAGCTCACAACTCACAACGAGCGCAGCGATAGAGCATAAAGCAAAACAACAAAAACAAAAGCGAAAGCAAAAAATCGAAAAAAAAACAAACGGAAGTGCCTCACATAACAGCAGGGGAAAGGGAAAACAGCAAAATAACCACGCAGCGCAGGGTAAATGTAATCGTAGCCTCGATTATTCGATGCTAGAAACACTGGTAGCGGCAGCAGGTCTAGTAGTCTGTGGAAAGGGAAGAAGAGGAGCCATAGATAACAACAGCACAAGCAGTTGAGTGCAAGCTGTGGTGGGGGCGCGGAGCTACAGCAAAAGGAGTGACAGACAGGAGTGTGGAAAGCGGCAGTCAGGCAATAGGATAAGCAGGCAAAACTAAGTGACGGGCATTCTTGTAGAAATCAAGTAGCAAAAACCAGCCAAGTAAACAAATTAAAGTGCTGTCTAAAAGCAGAGAGCGAAAACGAATGAGAATGGCGATAAAAATTTAACAATACTAAAATGCAACAAAAAAAAGCAGGAGATTACAGAAATCAAAGCCAACGGGCTCAAAGCAAAGATACGATGATAATTTACTTAAATTAACCCAATCCATCCATTAAAAGGTATTAAAGGAACGAAAACGGACGCAAAAAACAAAAAAAAAAAAGAAACAAAACCGAGCGTGCAAACAGAATGCCAGAAGTGAGAGACAAGTAAACGAGGCAAGAAGTGTAAAAGTCAAGTGAAAAAGATGTCAAAGTAAAGCGATAAGCAGACACGGGATCTGGATCTTTAGATACGCTGCGCATAGTAGTGAAGTGTTTGAAAACAAGAGCAACAGCAGCAACAAAAACAATACACGTATTAGCTAACAAACAAAATAATTCTACAAAAAAGTGGACGAACGGTAAAGGTTAACGGCGTCAAAGCAGAGGCAGAGTGCCGTTAACCGTTGTAGAGAGAAGGTTGCGCAGAGAGACAAGGTTGTAGAGGTGGTCGAACAGAGAGGCAAAGCTTGAAAGCGGAAGCTGATGCTGACGCTGATTGACAGCGCACAACCAGCGGAAGCAGTCATATGATCCGCAAAATGAAGGGATTAAGTTTTTGTCAAAAAGCAAACAAGCGACGAAAAAACGTTGAAACCAACGACCAAACACCAAGAGGCAACACAGCATTGCCAACACGCGCGGCTTGCACCAACCATAACAACAACAAAGTGAACAAACTGAAAATATGCAAAACGACAACCATAACACAAACACATAACGTTAACGCCGAACACCAGCTGACAACGCCATTAATATGTCGAAACAATAACAAGAAAAACAGCTGCAACAGCGTAGGTAGCCAACGGCGCTACTGCAGCAACGGCAGCAACAATTCAACAACACCACCGCCCACATTCAACCAACACCACAACCACCAACACCAGCATTGCCTCGCCCCGGGCCAGCTGACGTACAAAATGCCATTGCCACTGCTGTCGATATGCAAGACAACAACAACTACAACAGCCGTAGATGTGTCCGCGGACCAGCAGCAACTACAACAACAACGGCAGCAGCAGCACGAGCAGCTGGAAAGAGTTCAAAATTGTTGCCTTGCCCGTTGCAAAGAGCAACAACGTCAGCGAAAAGCAACAACAACATACGCACCCACCAAACTCACCCAAACCCATCGCCAACACCTAAGCCAACAACCAGCAACCACTCACGCATTGTCTTGCTTCAGCAAATCTTTGGAAACTTTGTCATTGCGCGCACTGCTGTCTCGCCATCATCAGCTCTTCCATTTCCAGCAACACCTACAACAGCTGCACCTCCACCTCCATTTTCACTTTGGCATCGCCGTCATTGTGCTGGCCTCCATTTTAATGTATTCATGCCCATGCGCGTCGGCCTTGCGTCTCACAAATGGCGGCAATACTAAAACTTTATCCGCTAATAAGGAGCAATTAAATATTGGCCTAATTGCACCGCACACAAATTTTGGCAAACGTGAATATTTACGCGCCATTAACACAGCCGTACAGGGTTTGGCGAAGACACGCGGTGCCAAGCTGACGTTCCTGAAAGACTATTCATTTGAACCGCGTAATATACATTTTGATATGATGTCGCTGACGCCGAGTCCGACAGGTGAGTCCACCGCCATTCATTTAATTTTTATTTTATTTGTTCCTCTGGTTTGTAAGACATTTTATTGGACACGGTGTTCTCTGTAAATGTGCTCTTTAATAATGTAAATAATTTTTATTATCAAGTAGTAAAAACATAAGGACTTTATTACAATTCATCCGAATATATAAAAAAGTAATAATAATAATAAGATTATGACAATTTTACTCCTAGTTGCTTGACCGCGCTTCTCCTCCTCTTTGGGCTGAGTGTCCTAAATTTTAATGGTTTGTTTTGATTTTCAGAATATTTTCCAGATGCTTAATATTTGGTTTTTTATATCTATAAATTCTATCTACGTCTGAATTTTAATTATAACAATAATCATAGAGACCACAATGGGATTCAATTTTTTTTTTAAGGAAAAATAAACTTAAAATTTAATGGGAAATGTTTATTATCATTCGAAAGAACACTGTTTCGTTCGAGCATTTCGACTAGTTTCGACTGGTAAATGACATGCGTGATATTTTGCTTCAAGGTCTGAATCGAAGCGGGATTATCTGTATAGACTTGAGATTATACATATCCTCACATAAAAAGTCAAACAGTGTGATATCACACGATCTTAGTGGCTAATCAACTGGCCCAAAACGTGAATTTTTTGCTCATCGAAGTGTTTCTCAATCAGGGTTGGGCATTTTGCACTACCACTAAATATTTAGTGATAGTGAAAAATAAGTTCTAGTACATCATTTCTCGAATTCGATGACGAGTCCACAGGTATTAGATTTAAAGAAACCAACCTGCGAAATTTTTGTAAATAACTTCCTTTTTCAGATGAAAATCAACGTATACAAGTATACTCCCACGGCGGAGCTGTAGCAACCGAAGTAATTTTGTACTTTGGTTCGAAAACGTCGGATCTTCTTGGAACTTTTCAAAAGCCCATAGTTTGAAGTGATGTCATTTAGGAAAATCTAGCGGCTTGAGTCCTTGCCCAAGCTATATTTGGTACGCCAGTGGAACTTAAACCCAAACTAAACCTCCTAATGATCCCCCGGTATCACCGTCAAGTATTTTGTCCGGAAGATGTTTGAGTAATGTTCATACGTTTGTAATGATGCGAATGCATTCAGTGACAAGTTGCATATACTTAACCCCACCTCTCTTGGTCTCTAAAAACCGCCCCGTCCGCATTTATAGTCAACTCCTTCCCGTATGATTTAAACATTTTGGTATGCTTCTGTTTGGTTCGTACAATTTTAGAGTTCCCTTCTCCGCTGCAGTTTTAGGGCTCTTGGGTTTTCATGATTTGGCGGCTTCGTTGCTCCAATCGCAGTTGGTAAAATAGAGTAGATTCCGTGCTAAATTTAAATAGATTCCTCCAAGTGGTCTTTTTAGCCGTGACTCTATGCTTGTAATCAATCGGAATGTCCACCGTTCATTTCAATAGACTTCCCAACGTCTTTGCCAGGTCTTCACCGTCTCCGCTCGAACATTTTCTCTTTAGATTCCCTTTCAAGCACTTTCATTAATGCATATATCGGAACTATCGTCCAAAACTTCAATACCAATTCGATAATATACAGTTTCGAGATCTTGAAAATAGACGTTTGTTTTCATCTTGATCTCTTCATTTTACTGAAATATTTGTCTAATATGTCATCTCATTGTTCTAAATTTGTTCTTATGACAGCTCTCTCTGAATCTCGGTCCGTTCTGAACCACCCTGTACTCCTGATGAAGTTCACCAATAAAAAAAGTTTTTTCAATGCAAAATCCGAGTCATCGTCAAAAAATTCCGGACCGAGAGTGGCGATACGTTTTCTATAAAAAATATACTAATTTCTTCTTCTACATTTTGGCAGGTTCTACAATAATCATTGTATTCCTTTTCTGCTGGCTTGAATGCGATTTAGACTGTGACCTATTAGTTCTCCTCAAAGAGTTATGTCATTCCATTTGAATTTTAATATTCAACATGTGTGACCCATATTCCGTTAATGCCACGATTACTTGCTTGTTAAGCAAGTTAAATATTGTTTCCATCGAGACTCAGAAGTATATGTAGTAAGTTCTCTTTTTTCCGAGTGTAACTGTACAGTGGTGCCTGAGTTGGCTAATGCTGGAAACCCATTATTTCACTATCCTCGAAGAAACTATAAGACACTTTTGTGATTTCAAATCCGATTAGCAATATATAATATTTCTTGTTGCGAGCACACTCTTTGTCAGAACAAGATTTTCTTTGATTTAGCTGAAAAGACATCACCTCCTAATTGATTATCTATTTTTAATCCATCTGAATGGATACTTATATCTGTGTCCCTCTCATCCCTATCCCACTCTTCACTGCTAGGATGTTAGTATTGGGGGCCGAATTTAAATTTCGTTCTACAGAATTTCGAAGATCGGTGGCATTGGGTAGAAACGGAAATTGGCTAAGTACATTTCTTAGAATGCAGCTTATTTCGCTAGCAGTTGCTGTCCCGATATGTAACGATATATAACCTTTAGTGGCTGACTTTTCGTTGTTTTAAGAGCTTGACTGATGAGTATATGGCTGGTCTTTCACCTTATTTATTCAATTGACCGGATTTGTAAGAGGTTCTATTGTAGTTCTACATATTTACTTCCGACTATAGAATGTTTGAGAATTGCTGTAAGAATCTAATGCAATAATGAAATCATCTCTTACAAATCTTTGTACTACATATTTTTGCTGGCCAACTGGAGATTCCAAATGTAGCCCGGTCATTGTCAAAGTTCCAACGCAGTGGAAGTAGTCTTCCTTTTCCTCTGCTTCCCTCAGCGGGTACTGCGTCGAATACTCTCAGAGCTGGACAGATTGTACCTTCTCTATTCAGACCTGAAGCTCGAATTATTTTCTCTAGTTCTCTGAAACCTCGTTCGGCATCGAACGGCTCGTAGAGATCCTTCGTGATCCTGATGGAAAATTCAGACATAGTGGCATAAAGGCAGCTCCTTTTCGTACTTAAACACCTATTTTGTAATTCCGATTTAGTATCTCTTTTGGCAAAGCTGTTATGCATTTACATAGATCATACTTAAAGCTCCCAAAAAATGCAAAACCTCTTAAATTGTTTTCGACATCGAAATCTGTTTCCTTTAAATTATTATTGAAGCTTATATGCTGTATTATTACATACTCCATTTAATCCTCAAAGCCAAACATTCAAATCTCAATTTTTTTCATTTAAATATTTGCATAATCTGTAGATTTTCCCGAATATTTTTTCAAAAAAATATTTACATACAAGCGCCACACATAAAAACATTTGGGCATTGCAACAATTATGAAATAGTAAAAAAGCAAATATCCAGCGGCGCGACTACATGCAAACATTTGCCAACCCGTGTGGTGATATTAAATCCACAAAAACTACACGCAAAGGAAAAAAGCTGCTCATTTAATTGCGCAACCAATCGAATTTTTCATGGGAGGCGTTGAAAAGGATGCGCGCACTAAAATCAAATTTTGCTGGAATTCACTACAAAATTTTAACTTACATACACCTCTGTGTAGCTGTGAAATTTAAGGACCACGCGAGTATAGAAAAATGTGCTCACACGTGGCACTAAATTTTCACATTTTTCTCAGCCATATTAAATTTCAAACTAAAAATTTCAGCCTGCCAGAGCAGTGTGGTAGTAGATAGTGGGTATATTACGTAACAGTCGGACGACAAGCAAATAAAAGTTTTTTGGCAACATGAGCTGTGAAATAATCCCATTTTCTTTTCATATGTATTTAGTAAGTCTGCCAAATCAAAGCCAATATCCAAGCATTATTTGTCTACTTCCAGCTAAGGATAAAATACGAAATTCCATTTATCAAATCGCATATCTTCCTGCCACGGCCAAGCACAAAAAAATAAAAGTAAAAATAAAGAATAAAATGTAGAAACAAAATGCAGGTAGTTTATATTTTAAATTGGCAACGTAAAGTCTATATAAATTTTTATATTCCTGCTTCTCCTTTTACAGTTTTATTCATTTTTCTTCGCAAACAAATATCCTTTGGTAAACTTTGAAGTCGTGCCGTAGCAGGTGATGTAGAAATTAGAGTAAGGATAAATGGATTGCCTTTGAACTTTGTAGAAAAGCAGCAGCGCTTTGGGTCAAGCGAAATGTTGTGCTAAGATGATTTCACTTTTGTTTCAAGCTTTACAGTTAGTTCGCCACTGAATGAGTACACACCTAGACGCTTTGGTAGAACTTTTGGCTGTATATTTTTAATCCTTATTCTCTATTGGTTAGTAAGTTGAAAGTATTTCATTTTAGCTGGTCAGTTGACAATACCTTTAAAATATGTGCAATTACTTAGTCTGATATTCCCACCGAATACAGTTGGGAGATTTAAGCGGTTATATCTGCTTGTAATTTGTTTTTGCATGTATACCTTATACATAATAGGTTGTCAAAAAATTCCTGCGGTATTTTTTATTGAATTTTCAATTGTTCGTAAAATTGGTTACAATAATGCGATTCAAGTCAAATATGCGCCGTTTTGTTCGATGAAGCGTTCCCAACGAGATGCTAACTTCATAATGCGCCTCTCATAGAAGCTCGCTTTCCTATTGGCAAAAAACTAGGAGAGCCAATTTTCACAGTACTCTCTTGTGGCCAACTTCAGACTACCAAGCGCGTTCGCCATGGACAGAAACAAGTGGTAATCACTTTTTGCGAGATCCGGACTATACGGTGGATACAAAAGAACCTCCCATCCGAGTTGTGTGTGGCCTGGCATTGTCCTGATGGAAAACAATTCGCCCTCTGTTGATCAAAGATGACCTCTTCTGCATGAGTGCTGCCTTCAAGCGGTCCAGTTGTTGGCAGTACAGGTCCGAATTGAGCGTTTGGCCATAGGGGAGCAGCTCTTAGTGGATTATTCCCTGCCAATCCCGCCAAACACACAGAAGAACCTTCCTGCCGCTTGCCTGGGCCGCTTCACCGCTTTTCGACCACGACCGTTTGCGCCTTACGTTATCGTAAGT